GAGTTGAGTCATTCTTTGTGTGTCTGCCGTATCATGTTGGGTTCGGGGAAGAAAATATTAATGCTCCCTAATCTGCTTTTTGGACACAGAAGCGATCAGCACCAGGCAAGCCTCACTGTGCCTTAAAGCTCTGCATGTCAAAACAAGTGTTTTCTGTTATCAGTCAGGTCTGTGGCCAGAAATACAAGCTTCAGACCACAAAGACCGGAGCAGCATTATTTTTTCAATGATTTCAATGTTGACTTTAAAGGTCCAGTGCGTAAGATTTAGGTGAAAGGGATCTATTGTCAGAAATCTTATGTAGAATAACCCTCATGATGTTGAACTAGTGCGTTTCATCTAAATTATATGAATTATAGTTTTCTTTATCCCAGAAAAGGCCCTTTATATTTAAATACTTTATATTTACATTGAGCGGACCCTCTCTACGGAGGCCGCCATGTTTTTTACATTAGTCCAGACTGGACAAACTAAACACCTTTTGAGTTTTTATGACAACTGAAGCTACCACAGGTTCTTTTTCATGTTTGGAAGGAGAGGGTGAGGTGAGGGGTGTTCAGCTGCAACATGCAACTTCAACACTAAATATCACACATTTCTACCCACTGTACCTTGCACATCATATACTAACAGCTATACTGTGATTTTACCCGGTGCTGCCAAAACCTTCACAGTTCTATGTGCATTTTCAACTTGATTTTGTATGTATACCTATTCCTCCATGTATAATGCATTATAAATGTCAGTTTTAACAGTTTAAATGAAATTAGAGTTTTCAAAAAAAAGATAAGGTACATTTTAAAGGTATGTGAACCTGTCACCATGTTCAGTGTTACTGAACTTTTTCTCGGAGTCTTTGGTGCTAATGCATGAAAGAAGTGCTGCTTGAATAATTGTAGCTTCCATTATGTGACAGTGAGACAAAAAAGAAAATAACACAGAGAAACCTGGTCCAGGAGTGCCTCTGGTGGACATTGCTTGATTTTCACTTGAAACTTTTGGACACAAGAAATCTCTGTTTTGTCCTTTACTCTGTGTCTTCAAGTAACTGCTACACACACATCCAGCTCATTCAGTGACAGACTGGACTTGTGTGATTGACAGCTGATAACAGCCTCCCAAAGTCTTGCTGGCCCTTTGAATTGGGCGTGCTGTAGTGCACTGCTGTCCTGTCTTGATGAGCAACTGTCTCACATTGTACAGAACTCCTGCACAAGACAGCTGACACATAGTAAGTGCTGAGATTGCGCTCCTCTACTTTTCCTTCTTTGACGCAGTTGTTTTTGATTTGTTTCGCTCTGAGAGTTTACTGATTACTTTCAAAGGACCATAACATGTTTTTTTGCAACCTTTCAGGCAGTCATTGAGTCTGTGCATGTATGAACCCTGGAGAGTGTGTTTTTTGGAGTAATCTAGCATTACTTTTTCCACTGTTGATGCTCCTCAGTGATGTTTGGTCATTGTACCATCTGCTTTCATGGTCACGCATGTACAACAATGTTAACTGAATTCCTGTCGCTTCAATATAAAATGTTTTAGTTTCCGCTGTGGGCAAACCAACCTGGTGAGCAGCAAGGTTGTCTAGGTTTTCCAGGCTTTGTGTTGTTTGTCCAGGCTTTGTGTTATAAATACTAAATATAACAAGACTAAAAACTTTCTGTGAATCTGCCTCTGGAACCGTGAACACAAAGTGTTTAGTGTCTGTTTTATTTGCTCATAGTACAATGATATGGGGCTGAATGGTTTGAGTAAGAAAGATTAAAAAAAAAGAAAATATTTTCTTTCTTTTCTCAATGTACGTTAAAAAAGTCAAATGGAAATGGAAAAAAATGCTTTAATTTCTGGCTTGGTGTGACTTCCAGTTTTTCAGTTTTCTCTTGTAAATTAAAAACAACATGTGACTAATTACAATGGAGACGGAGTACAAAAGTCAAATTAAACTATATGAGTGATATCTTCACAAAACAAAGCATTTTGTCTCCAGCTTTGGTGTACGCTTAAGTTTGCCAGCTAGTGTCATATAATGAACTATACACATACATTATTAAATATTGTAGAATCTGTTGAAAATACCTACAGCCCCTATGACTTCAAGAGGTCCATGAGAGGGTTCACATGCTTTAAAATAATGATAATAATGCATGATATTTTGAATTAAATATATAGTATAAATTAATATAAGCTTGTATACTAATTATTCTTACTATTCTTCTACTATTTTTAATTATTCTTACTTTATGTAAGAATAATCATAGCGTTTGGAGTTCACTCTGAATCTTTCTTTCTTTTTTTTTATGCACGATCATATTACTATATTATTGATCCGACTCCACAATTTAGTGTAGATTGTTAATTAATTTATTGATAGTTGTTTATTCGATGTTAACTAACACCACGGGTTTGAGAGTCTCGCAATTTCAATACAACATATGTCCTGTACATTTGCAGAATTGACAATAAAGCAAACTTTGAGCTTTGAACTTCTGATCCTCACTTGCTAAGAAGTTCCTTTCTCATTTGAAACTAGTCAAACATTTATTTTTAAGTTTAACTCAAATTAATAGTGGGACAACCTGTTTAATAAATCATGAAAGACTGCAGGGAATTATATGGTTCTGCACTTAAGGACAAGTTAAACTCTACAACTAGAAAAGGGCAGGTGCTAGGCCAGGCTAGGTTGCTGGACAAACAATCAGTTCACACACTGTAGGGCTCATAATTCATTGCACTTTAGAACCAGTGATGTTTCTCCTCACCATTAAACTGATGTACAAACATGGGTAACACCATTGCAACTTGATTCTACAATTCTCATAAAAGGAACAGTTTGGAAATGTAAGTACTAAAACAATGGTAAGTCTTCCCAGCTTATAGGCCTCTGTGCTCTGATCCACTACCCCTGCACACATCAGAAGATTAAAGCCCCGCCCTGAACACCAGCAGCACACACTGGTCTCAGGGCATTCTCAGCCCCATCACCACCGTGCACCTTTAAAATATAACTTACTACATCAGAATTAATGTGTCTTATGTTAGCTTTATAACTACATTTACAGACAGTGTTCAACTTACTCCAATACACTTGTTTTGAAGAGGAGAGGTTAAGAGCAGAGATATTGGTGTTTTTGAGGGACACAATAAGCACTTGTCTTGAATTGTCACCTGTCTCTTTCAGATTTTGGAATAAAAATTGCGGCCAGATGTGGCCAGGGATTGTTGCTGGAGGTTTTTTTTTTTTTCTGTCATCATTGTGCCTGCATCATAGACTAAAGACAGGCAGTGCTAACTGCATCTGTGGTGGAGGAGCTTCTGACACTGGAACGATTTAAAGGCTCAGTGTGTAAGATAGGTGAAAGGGAACTATTGGCAGAAATTTCATGTAGAATAATCCTCATGATGGTTTTACTAGTTCGTTTCATCTAAATTGTATGAATTGTAGTTTTCTTTACCCCAGAAAATATGTATTAAAAGGCCCTTTATATTATTTAAAAACTCAAAAGGTGTTTAGACAATTAAAGGCTTCCACAGATTCTTTTTCATGTTTAGAAGGAGAGGGTGAGGTGAGGGGTGTTCAGCTGCAACATGAAATTTCAACACTAGATATCACAAAATTCTACACACTGTACCTTTAATAGAAGTGCAATGTATGAAAAAATTACATCAGTTAATTCAATCTTCAAACTTATGTATGCGCCTCACACCTGAACAGTAATAAAGCAAATTCATTTTCATTTCCTGAAAACACTGACTATGAAATCGGTGCAAAGAAAAATTAAAAAAACCGAACTCAGTTGATCATAGTACTTTTGTGGGTTTGGAAAATATAGCTGGAACCAGCTTGACCACAGGCCAAGCAAACAGCCCATTCCAAACAGGCATAGGTTTAAAACAGGCACTGGATGAGTTGTGTTGCATATCAGAAAGTGCAGCTGTGAACTGATGCTGACTTTAGGACAGTGTGTGTGTGTGACAACCCATGATGACACGTCACGCTGCCACAGCGAGTGTGTGAGCTTACACAGACCAAACACAACAGAGTGGCTGTAGGTGTTCTGCTGCATCTCAGACAGTGTCACAGGAGGAGGGGCTGACATGGGTGGCCAGGGTCAAATTCTGATCCGGGGCCTACAGAGGAGTTTCCACATTGTTCTCTTTTATCTGTGCAGGCCTTTACATAATCACACCATCATGAAGGTTAACTCAAGTGGAGATGACTACACCTTGCACTGTAGTGAGTGATGCTCAATAAATCATCGCTGCATTCCTTCTAGTCTGGAATCCGTCTAAGACAGAATGCTGTGGTAAAAACGGGGGGTTCTGTCAAATGTGGAACTATTCTGAGGTCACTATAAGCTGGAGGACCCCCTGGAGAGCACAGATCTATTATTACCTGCTGTTATGGGACATGTTCCGTTTTATTACCGAGCGACTGTGCGTTCTGTTGCCGGCGCTAGGATCCAGAGGAATGACCCCCCATATCCCTCTCTCTCTCTCTCTCTCTCTCGCGCTGATCGAGACTGTTTTAAAGTCTCTGCCTGACTTGGGCTCACACGTTACTTCCTGGATGGATGGAGGAATGGGAAGCGCGCAGCTCTCCATCATCACCACCACCGCCGCCGCCGCCGACACCGACTCCCCCCGCTGTGTGTGCCCGACGAGCGCTCCCTCCACCGCCGCAGCAGCCGCATGAGCGACAAGGCACCGTGTGGTCCTCCGCTGCTCCAGTCTCCTCCAACCCACTTTTCCCCGGCTGCATCCTCACGCTCCTCCATCACCGCCAGTATCCGAGTGTTATGCTGATATCCGGGAATATCGGGGGGATTTTGGGACGGAAAGACTCTCCACTGCTCCTCTAACTAAATCTCAACACCGTGCACGGTCTCGGTCTCCGCTGCGTCCCCGGCGCTGCTCTTTACGCAGCAAAGGCGACGCTAATTTGACCGCAAAAAGGGGGGAAACTCAACAGTTGTGGCTGCTTCTTGTGTGCATGTCGACGGGCGTATCATCACAATGTGGAGGCTACTGCAATCGTGCTGTTGCTGCTGGTGGATTTTCTTGTTCGTTTGGCCAGCCTGCGTGCTCCTTTGGGCCGATTGCCATCCCGGTAAGTTTAATCCCCGACAAGTCAAACGCCGGGCTTTGTGTTTTTGCTCCTCTTGCCTGTGAAGAAATGCGGTTATCACTGAACCATTGTCGGGACAAAACGTTTCTCTTATAGGCTGATGGAATAAAGTCAGGTCCCCTCGTTGAATAAACTGCCCCCGGTCTCTAATGTTGGTGCGGCTTGGACACGCTTTACCGGCACCGGCACGTTGACTGGAAACTGTTGGAGACGCAAGATGCAGTTTAGTGAAAGGATGGGACCCGTTTGAACCATTCATACTCATTCAAAACACAAGTTTATCACAGGAGCAATTTCCCTCAGATTTGTCTCCGTCTTCGTGCGCTCCAATTCCGCCGTTTTTAAATTTGTTTTTATCCCTGCGAATTGCAATCACATTGTGAAAGAAATGACGCAAAAAGCGGGAAGCCTGTGTGAAGATGGTAAAGGGTTGGCAGGGTCAGGGATACGGGTAGCACGGGTAGATGAGACGAGGGAGATGTGATGCTTTGTCAGCCGGCGGCGCGTACGCCAAAGCCGTTATCTCACCGCCTGAAGCAAGACAGCAGGGCTGTGAAGCCTCCTCACTCTCAGGAGCACCACACACACACACACATCCAGTTCAGCCTCAGATTCGTTCCAAGGGGGAAAGCAGAGCTCGTGTCAGTGTTTGGGGTCATGTAGACCCACACAAGCGGTCCACAGATAATGACACCTGACCCTGTGCCCACATGGCTTTATAACACAGATTTTGAAATGTGCAAAAAAAACAACATATCACTGTCCTACATGCTTACTTTTCGAATTGAGATAATAAATGGCTATGTTATACAACAGAATCGAATGAACTCCCATGTTCATTTGGTAAAGGGAACTCTCTTCTCAAGTTAGCGATAAATAAAAGACCTCTGGGCCGGGACCCCAGTGTGTGAGGTCCACAGCCTCCAGTATTTAAACCCCCAAGATCCAAAAGCTTCAGTGAATCAGCACCTTTTCTGTTGCTGTTACTTCCATAGTGCAAGGAGGACAAATCAAATGCATCAAATTGCAAAATAAATCCTGCAAAATCAAATTTGACCTTGACCAGATGTGTCCACTCCTACATTCCCCTCGCTGTGGATCATCAACATGTCACCTGGACACTTTAGCGGGGCGCCTAAATCCAATTGAATCTGGAGTTTCAACGTTCTTACGTTCACACGGGCTGTAACAATTGGTTTTACATAGATAATATTCTTACACAGAATCTCCATCCGGGAGCATCTTCTCCATCCAATGTCGAGTCGTCCGAAATTACATTTTAAGATTAAACAGATGTAAGGTGATGTGAACAACATGGCAAATGCTGTGTCTCACCAAAAACCTCCACGTCTGTATGAGGAGACTTCATCTTAAGCGTGACTGATACGTCGACGCAAGAAAAATGTAGTTAAAGAGAATAATGTAAAATGACTGTGACAATTTAAAAATGCAACACTTCACACAATGATGGGAGAAAATCCCCCTGACGCTGTCTAAGTGTTGTTTTATGTCCTGATATTATACTGATACATCACCCAGCTCCGCTCTCAACCCAGTGTGTAACCGAAAGGGGGAACAAAACAGGCTTCCCTAACTCTATCTCCACGGTCATTTTTAGGAGTAACCCCATTAAAGACTCCACGATACCCTTTATTGAAACATAGTTCCTAAATGGCTCCCAAATGTCCAGCATGAGGAGCCATTCTAGTGTTGATATTCATCAGCGCTTGTGTTGCAGTCCTGAAGCCGTTTGTAGGAATGACACATTCTCACAGACCCAGTCAGTCAGGCAGTATTAGCCTAGTTTTCAGCTCGCCTAGATTAGCTCTTATGTGTCTTACACGTCTAAAGCGGTGTCAGGAAACACACACACAGAATGTAAGAGAGCGATTTTAAAATGCTGCCCTGTTGACCGATGCTTTTACAAATCTGTACCGGTATCATGTGCTGTTAGGATTGATAGACGGACTTCAAATTTTGGAAGTGGAGCTCTTGTTAGACATACAGGATTTTTGTCGTGCCGGTTCATCCTCTCCATTTTTCATCTTGCATTCCATCTGATCTCAAATCTGGAGAGAAATCAAATCAAGTGAGCCCAGAAGCAAGAGAGAGAGAGAGAGAGAGAGAGAGCTGCGGCGAGAGATGGATGGCACGGATGGATAGATGGACGGAGACATAGACGGAAAAATGGAAATAGGATGGAAATGATAGTTTAACCCACAGGTTGAGAATTGATTTGTGTTGGTTCATGAAAACATCAGGATTGTTTTTTTGTTGTTGAAATTGAATCACTTGGTATTCACAGATCAAATATTGACAATAAATACAAATTCATTTTGTATCATATTAATAACAGGCTCATTAGTGTGTGTATTGAAAGGCAATGTAACACATCAAACGGCTGGTCTGGGTGCTGTATCAACTCAGGAAAACAGACAAAAGCATTTATTAATTCAAAGAGTACAGAAAAAAAAATTAACTAAAAGGCTGTCGACAATTAGAGGAAATGTGGAAAACCGAGGTGGGGTTTCTTTCACAGTGAAAGGACACAAGTCCAAATCATCGGCACGTCACTTTGTCTTGTGAAAGATAAAAAAATCAATAAAAAAATCTAAAGGCATCTTTTTGTGCTGGGAAAATCGATTTCAAGTGAAGTATACCCCGTGCATAGGAAACAGACGGATGGATGGATTGATATTCATTTGCCAGTTTGTGATGCTTTACTGACACGGTGAATGTCTGGGGATGTAAGCGCAGTCGCCGAAGGGCAAACCCGTGGCTCAGACCTCCGCACATTGATGATTCTCTCCACCACCCCCCTCCCTACTTGACCCCTTCCTTCGCTCCCCCCTGCCCTCAGCTTTGCTGCGTGTTGTCATGATACCGGCTTTGAGCAGGCCCAAGGTGGCGGGTTCATGTTGAATGGCTGGCAGATGATGTCGAAACAGAGATGAGTATGCTTCTCTCCTGGTGGGTATCGTCATCCGCAGGCTCTCAGCGCCGCTCTCCTTACCTCCAGCATGCTCTTCTTTTCTATTAATAAGGCTCTTAGCTGGAAGATTGGGTTAGAAAGACGAGATCAGCTTTCCATGTAAAAAAAAGACGTCACCCGTGGGCCACATGCAAATGCAGCAAAAAAACAACAATTTATCGAACAAAATAATTTTTAACACATCTAGTCGAGTGTGAAATGAAGACAATAGTGGGAGAGGTTCTGTAAAGATCTGTAAAGCATTCTGTTTAAATATGCAAATACACCCCATATATTTTTCTCTGCTCTTGGATTTTTGTCAGTTATTTTATTAAACATCACCTTGTTATAGCGATATTCTACAAAACATGTCGATGACAGGTGATGCATGTTTTGCTGTGAAAAAGAGCAGTGACAAAGAGATGAGCCACACATTAACATTTACTCTGTTAGTGAAAAAAACATTCACGAGTGTTACAGAATGTTTTATCTGTGAGCACTTCTCTTATATGTATGAATGCTCTTTTCTTTTCCATCAAATGATGCAGTCAGTTTTATAGTTTGTTCTTTTCAAGCTGGCTGATCCTATAAACGTAATAAATGTTCTCACACGACCTGTCATCATCACGATCAGGAATAAGAGCCAGGCGGCAGTGATCTATCTCATGTCTTATCTGGGTGGTTTTGTATCTGCCCGCATATTTATAAACCAGACGTCATCTCATCTTCGTCCTGATGTGACTCCCTGTGATTTTCTTCAGCTGGGAGGCTATAGAGTCCGCCAATAACCTCAGCTCCAACCTGCAGTGCTGGAAGGCCGTGGGCAAGGGCTACATCCTCTGAGCTCAGTCTGGAGCACACTTTAATTATGTCATACCTCGGTGCAAAGCAACACTCGCAGTGATTAAGACAGCGTTACAAACACAGGAGGTTTTTTTTTCCCGTCTGTACAAGTGACCTGCCTGCTGCTACCACGGCCTTCTGGTCGTTCACATAATGGTCGGCTTGCAGCCACAAAAACATCTGTTTTTTTACGGGGATAGAATGCATTGAACTTCACCGCAGGGCGACTGCTTGCTGACACAGGGCATCACTTTTTTCTTTTCTGTCTGCGGTGTCAGTGCTGAGGCATCACGCCCCTGTCACTGTGCTGTTCTTCAGCCTTGGGTCAAGCAAACACTCAAGAGAAGGGAGAAGGAAAAAAAAAAAAAGAAGAAAACAGAAGGGACAAGGAAAGAAAGAGATGTTTTGGCTCCAATCTGTCGCTTTCTGCTGCGAAAAATGAATGGGCCCTGTCGCTTCTGGCTGGGAGGAAAAACAGAACAGTCATTGTAATCTCACCAGTGCCGGAGCTGGCACATCTCTTCACCTCCATGAACGCTTACACCCTTCCCTCCATCTATCTCTGTCCCTCTCCTCCCTTATTGTTTTTAATCCACCCTCCTTTTCTCTGTTCTGAGTACGTGAATGCATACACTGCCTTTATGGTTTTTTTTTCTTCCTAACTATTAAGCAGGTCTCCGTGTCATGAACCTTTTCTCAAGCTTTTTTGATGCAGTGTTACGGGGGAAAGGTTGACATTTAGGGAAGAAATTGGATATGCTCCGTGGCCTTCAGTTGCCAACATTATCATCGGCATCATCTCAGTGCTCACCGGGCTATTATCTGGCTTCTGCTGTGGTCAGAAAAACGCTAGCATGTCGGCTCACAGGCCACTTTATCAGTCGGCACAGAGCCTGTCAACACCCCCCTTACCAGATTTGTTAAAAGATACAGTGCCATGTTCATATGTATATATGTGCATGTATGATGCAGCTGGGGAGGTGTTAGATATCTGCTTTGGATGTTAATTTCCTAACAGTTGGGTAGAAAGAGAGAGAGAGAACTCGGCCGCTAGATAAATGTGGAAAAAAGAAAAAAAATCCACATTGATTTTTTGCAGGAAATGATGCTGTGTTGTTGCACAAAGTGAACCAAAGATAAATAGGTCTGATCATGAAAACAATAGTAA